GGGGGGGGAGACCCGCACTCGAAGGGATGCCATCTACATCGAGAACCAGAGGGTGAAAGGTTAAAGGAAAATTTGGAAGCTGCCCTGCGCCACCTTGCGATACAAGGGCTACATTCGGTCGGTATGGGGTGGATGCTATAAGCATCAACCAAGACGACCACGACGAGAAAGGCACTCAGATTGAGCTCATGCGGCATATCTATGGCAATGCTACGACTGTGAACATTTGGCTAGGAGAAGCATGCTGATGGCAGCGAGGTCAGGGTCGTCATGACTATTCTTCCCAGGCTCTTGGACCAAGGCAAGCCTTTCAAAAGGAGCAAATTGCCGCGCTACTAATCACAATGGAAACTGAAACAGCCCCATCCACAAATCCATACTAGTGGCCTTCTTTAACCGTCAGTATACTGGAAGCGCGTATGGTATCGTTCAAGAGCTGGTCTGCGCTAAAGACGCCGTGGTCCTCTGTGGAAATAGCACCGTGCCATTTCAGTGCCATCCTCAAATTTCCATCAGTCTGTGAACCAAGTAGTAGGGAAAGCGTGTCACTGGGCCGAACGTTGCGCGGGACATCACTCTCCGAACCTTCCCGAGCCCCTACTATAGTAGTACTCAGATCGATGCTTGGAAGAAATTCCGCCATGCACGTAAAATAGGGAGAAGTAAAAAGATTTTTTTTTGAAAAAAGAATTTGCATATCAAAAAAAACATACGACAGCGGGGATTCGCTAGTGGTCACCCACCTAACTACTAATCCGCCGGTAAACTGCTTATATATGCCAGATCGGACGGGATGGCTAGCTCTCAGTTTCCAATGGTCGTATGTGCTAGGAAAACTAGGATTAGACTACTAAATCCGTATTTTTGGGATTAGGGCTGGGGTTAGGCTTAGGGTAAGGAACTCTGGTTAGGGTTAACGTGATGCTATCGATATGGGGCCTGGCACTCCTTTCGCACGCAGTATAGAGAGCTAAACACTCAGCGGTATCAACGTATATCTTCGTGAATTGACATGTCACGTTGTGAGTGCAGAGTTTGTATCTCGCAATTACATACAAAGAGTAACGGCTAAATTCGTACGACGTTCGCTATCAAAACACTACTACATGCAACATTCTCACACACGACTTCTCTTCACCTCATACATTGAAATACATGCATCCGTTTGCGCGTCTTTTAAACCAAAAACCACAGACACGGAAAACAACAATGGACACGTTTCATGCAATTTCCCTTGATTTCGTACTCATTCCTCATTGTACTTGGTAGATAAAAACAACATCAACAACAGACGTCTAGTCAGTTCCATTTACCGCAGCAGGCAAGGTAGGTGTGGTTGCGCCAGAGTTGGGCTTGCTCTTCGTCTTCAGGGTAAGTGGGAAAGTAAAGTCGTCGGCCTCTTCCTCTTCACTGTATACTTGTTAGCAACTGTCCGTCACTAGTCATTGTAATCATTCGTCACTTACGGAAGCTTCCACGCAATGTAGTCCTCGGTGCTCAGTCCCTCACGGCCTTCTTGCAGCGAAGCAAAGTCACCAGGAGTCATCATACCTGAACGCTCACGGGGCGATCCAGGCTCGGATAGAGGCCGGGAAATCTTGACGTCTTGCGAGTTGAAGAAGTCGGGCTCCTCGTCGTCTTCGTACGCCGCAGGGTATGCTCGTCGGAGCGCCAGTTGTCGAGCCTTGACATACTCCAAGCCCATGCGCTTCCAGTCGAGTAGGTCACTGAGACGCTCTGTCCGATTCCGCTGGTTGATGCGCTGGCGCTTGCTCTTCTTTGTGAATTCAAACATGTAGTCGACGAGCTGGTTGACCGAGTCGTCAACGCCCTTCATTCTCCGATCTACAATGTAGATACCGTAGTCTTGAGCATTCTCAATCAGCTCCTCCATGTAGCAACCAAAACCAGACAGGTTTGTTGTGATACTTGGAACACCCATGACAGTGCACTCGGCTGGAGTGTATCCCCATGGCTCGTAGTAAGATGAGAATACACCAAGATGGGTTCCACGGACAAAGTCGTCGTAGTCCATGGGCAGTACGGGGTTGGCCGAGTTCAAAAACTCAGGGTGGAAAACAACCTTGACGCGGTCCGAGGGGTGGTTGAAGAGCTGGCAGCGACGCAGTTGGTTGAGCACAGGATCTTCGGCATCGTTGACCATGTTGTGAGTGACAATAGGTGGCAGGTTATGGCGCTTCATGGCGAACAATCTTCGGCGGAGCAGAATCTTATCAGCAGGTGTGATCAAGTCCTTGTCTTCAGGGAGCTCCGAGCCTTCTGTCCAAGTCAGGGAGCGCTCAAACAGCTTCTTGGCCACGTTCTCGGCAATGTTGTTCACACTGTCGTGGAGCGCCTTGATGACTGCCTGTCCCTTGAGTGAGTCGACCGAAAGAGAGGTAGTCTGTGCAGGCAGAATGATAAAAGCAACGACCGTCATGTTAGAGTTCTCGCTCTTCATCTTGTGGTTCAGTCGTGCCAGTGATTCGATAAACATGTCCACACCCTTATTCCGGTACTCGTAGCGACCAGCTGTGAAGAAGTAGAGCGTATTCTCAGGATCGAAGTCATTGTGACCGTAGAAATGTCCGCGCACAAAGTCGTTGATCTTGACCTTTGCCTGTTGGTGCAAGTTCTGGAACTCGTGCGTCGCAGAAAACTTCTTAACGTTGAGACCGTTGGGCAATACACCATCTGGTTTGCGCTTCAAGAGATGCTCGCTCTCATAGGCAGTGATGTGGGACACGGTTGTGAAGACGTCGGCAGCGTGCGTGGCAGCCCGCTCAATGCAGTAACGATGGTAGATACCCCGCTTTCCTGCTTCGGCATCCACGTCAAAGTATTGCAGATTGTTGTAAAAGTCGACTGAGCCAGCGCAAAGGTAGCGACCGAGAAGTGTGGCGTGAGTTGTGAAAATGGTAGTCACGTCGATGCGGCGCTTCTTGCAAAGGGGCACTGCAACACCTGCCAGCCACTCGTGGAACTGGACAATGACAGCTCGCTGCTTCTCATGGTAGACATACTGAAAGAGCAGTTAGCAAATGTACCAAGACTGATTTCATGTTTGCTTCTTACCTCGCCCAAAAACCAGGCGATAAGATAGCCAAAGACAATGGCCTCATTGGTCTCGGAATCGCCAGGAGGCGAAGGAATGCCAGTAGAAGACCAGAGGTCGCCCTTCCACTCATCGAGCCACCTGTAGCCAGTGCCAGTGTCAAAGAGGAGCACGCGTGGGGCACCGTCAATCAGCCATCGTCCGTATAGCGTCTTGATGCCCCGCTCGTCCATGGACTTGATCGTGGCCAGCAGAGCAGGGTCTTTGGGAACAATGGGTTCTACTTCGACGGCGGCCTATGGACTTGTAAGCAGGAAGTATCGCAGTGAGCAAGCATAGTGCTTACCGAAGCCCTATTCCAGGGACCGAGCAGAGTGTAAGCAGCGCCATACTCTGCTGTGGTGACCTGGGCCTTTGACTTGAGGACCGAGTAGATGCCGCCGACTGGAGCTGGTTAGGGTTTTGCGTCATGGGACCAGGATGGAGGGGAGCTACCTCTGTTTGCGACTTCGGTCGCAACCTCGAACAGGACGTGGTTCTGCACGTCTCGCGCTCCCGAGGCCATTGTGAATGTGTGGTGGGGTCAGATAGAAGGAGGGAGAGACACAATGGCAGATTCAAAATACTGTTCGAGAGAAGAGATTGAGAAGGAGAGGTGAAACAGGGCTGATGGAGCTGGAGCTCGGTACTTGGTTAGACTGCTGCAGGATGCGGCGCTAGACGGGCGGTTGGGTTACTGAGCCGGGGGTGGGGAGAGAATAGGCGATACGGGTCTGCAACAAGATGTGGTGGTGCAGCCGCAGAGAGCGAGAGAGAGAGAGAGAGCAATTGACGAGAGTGTGTGTGTTTGAGCAGAATTGACAGGAAAAAGTCGAGGTAATAGCGGTTGGCGTGGACCCAGCAGACATGCCCTGCAGCGGCGCCAAGGGCTGGAAGATGGTGGGCGGCTTATTGTTTTGAGAGCTTGAGCGTTGGGAGACCCCGACGTGGGGAGGGTTTAGGGTGGTTGGGATGTTCGGGTCAGAGCTCCCCAGCCGACTTGCCTCGCTAGGTGCGGGTGACGTCGTTGCTGGCCCTGCAGTCACCATGACGCTGCCCATATCATTTGCTGGCCGCGAGCAAACTAGAGTAACAATTTAGCCCACATGGTCCTGGCAAGACATGCACAGTACCCAATTCTCGCGACATGTGAGTAGAGTACATGTGCACCCATGCACAAACATGGACATGTACATACTGTGTACACACCCACCCACTCCCTACTAGCATGTTCCCTCCCCGCGGCTGGCGCCCAGCAGGGCAAGGCTGGAGCGTGGCCGGCCAGTGTGCGCGAGTCAACAACTCAACAGTTTGTCGAGGAAATGAGACGACGAGCGGACCATCGACCGATCCATCCCGTCCCGATTTGTGCCGCTCAATTCTGACGACTACTCAGTCTCTTCATCTTCTCTTGTCGCAACTGTTACATGGCGCATGTTGCTGTACACGTTTTGTGAAGTTAATATGCCGAGGCGGTACTGCGTCCGCCTGCTGCAGCGTCTCGTCATTAGGCCGGCGATTGCGGGGTTCCCGCGCGACGGGGGGTGAAGTTTCCAGCACGCCACCCTCTCCGCAGCCAGTCGAGTGGGCCCAAACTTGGGCGGAGGCGGAGACATCGGAGACTTGGTCGGACACACACACATACATACACGTACTGTATAGTAAGCTCACAACACCATGCAACCATGACAACTGAATCTCTCATATACCCTCACCTCACACGCTCACCCGCCAGTGTCTCCAGCTAGTCGCATCTAGACCCATATCACTTCAAACATTATATATCAATTCAATACTTCCACTCTATCTAGCCTCACCTGCTCGGCCATACCAGGCATCCCTCTCACGCCCCCACCATGCCTCAACATCGGCGCCACCTGAAAAACAAGCCTTTGGGCTGACAACGTTGGGAAACAAACCGCAAGGAAGAGAAAGAAAAAAAATTATGCAGGGATATCAGGCTAAAATCGCGCTCACAAAGGAAAGAGGAAAGACGAAAAAAAGGACGCCACGTGCCGTTTGGGAAGTGGTTCCGCCTGCAAACCACCCTTCTTTGCCCCCCCTCCCTCCCAAAAAAAACACCTTACTTGCCACTTCGATCAATCACCGGTGCAGCAACGGGCATCCCACCCAGCAAGCTGCCCTGCGCAAACTCATTGTTCAGGTTCAGGTTGACCATTGGGCCTCGGGCTTTGCTGCCATCCATGACTCCTCGACCGATCACGTCAGGGCCTTGAGAATAACCCGCTCGAGACAACAGGCCTCCACCCGTAAATGCTTTGCTGGCATCCTCCGGCGCCGCACCATGGTTGTTCTGCGTGTATGCAGCCAGGGGCTCGCCACGACCCTTGAGCGACCGTGTGCGCTCGTGGCCACCGGCACCATATGTTCCATGTGCGCGTGATGTTCCCGGCCGGCCCGCTCGCCAATCTGTCGACGAAGGGACCTTGATTGCTTCTTCTATCGACGTTGCGCTCTCCACAAGTGGTCCGGCACCCGCTCCCGGATTGTACCCTTTGCCCTTGTTGAGATGCTGTGGTGGTGGACGGTACTGCGGTGTAAGATCAATCAACGGCTCTGGCATACCAGGTACCCGTTTCGAAGCACTTCTTTGCAGGTCGCTGGATGTCCGTCGATGGTGGTTACTGCGCGTTGAAGTACTACGTTTGACACTACTGTCGGCCTGACCCAGCCGACCCACGTTCAGCAGTGATGGACCCTCTGTAAACGCGGCCGCCTGCTGCTGCTCACGAGCCTGGGCTGCAGCCTGGCGCTCGCTATAGCCTCGGCCTAGAAGCCCATTAGAAGTAAATGCCTCTTCTTCCTTGCCGTCAAAGCTGCGTCGTCCAGACGTCTGTCGAGACGTGGGCTGTGAGGGATTGGGCTTGCCGATTGCACTCTTGATCAACGTTGCCGGGGGTGGTTGCTTTACCCGCAACGACTTCTTCCTCGTATGCATTGCTCTGCTATCAAGCTTCGACAAGGGCTTGTCATCTGGAAACTCGCCCGGCTTATGCACTTCAATTTCATCTAGCTTCTTGTTGAAACTGTCCATGTCCAATAACGACGAGAAAGCACCTAGCTGGTAATGTGATCCTACAGACTCACCCCTTGCATGCGCTGATGACGTCGCTGCTTCTTGGTTGCCAGACACATTGCGCATGGCTGGCGACTTCTTCTTCAACCCCTCGCCCTTTTGGTACTTGAGGTACCAGCTCCGCCACGACTGCAAAGCATGGTAGAACATGTTTGCCGTGTTGCGGTCATTGGTGCAGAAGAAGTGCACATACTGCGACTCATCGGCAAAAATGTTCGACTTTTGCATACTCTTGACCGCATAGCATATCTTCTTGGGTGGCTTGACCCTTGCCAGCTTCTGCTGCGTCACTGTGTAGATGTCGTAGTCTGTAAGCGTGCAAATGTTCTCCAGATCCTTTTCCTTGGTTTTTTCGTTCTTCGCCATGACTAGCTGGCCGTCGGGACGCAGGGTAAGGAGCCGCTTGCTCCACTTGCCGGGTCTCGAAGAGTATTGGATAAAGCACGACATGCCTTCGGGCCTTGCCTCGGGCACTTTGTATGCGAGTAAGTCATCCTGGTTGATTCCGTCCACGTCCGAGTCGATAATGGTTAGCTCATTTTGGTTGTCGTGATCCCATGAGTTCATAACATCTCGTACATATTCGTAATTGCGAAGCGGGCGCGTGATGCTGACTTTGGTGAAATATTCAGAAATAACTGCTGTGCGAACGTCAATTGGGTCTGCGAGGACAGTTGACGCAGACTTGATCAGATCCAGAGGTGTTGTGGTCGGTGTGACTGGTAGTTGAATGCGCTTCTTGTTGCACACAACCGTAACACGCTGCCCCAATTGTTAGTCACTTCATCCCGCCCAAGAGGCAACCAACATACCCTGTCACCAGCATTCACGGCTGAAGTTGGCGCATCAATACCCAGGACCGCACCTCCTCCACCGGGCTTGATCGTCTCTTCCTCGTGGCTGAGGCTGAGGCTGAGTTGTGGTGCAGCCGACAATTGCGCTGGAGCATCCAGGCCTAGAGCCTCGTCCTTTCTCCTTTTGAACATGCCAAACCCAACTTCTTGCTGTCGCGGGGGCGAAATGGCATTGGGTGAGGCCGGTGGCTTTTGGGACCGCTCTTCAAGCCTTGCTAGTGCCGCTTGACGTTGATGCTCGTCCTTGTTTTGCGAAGTCTTTCGCGGCTCGGCTTTCTGTAGTCGTCTCCCACGCTCCTGCTCTGCCTTTTGTTCGATTCTTTGCCGACGCAGCGCTTCCGCTTCTTCAAACTCTCGCTGTTGCTGTTGCTGCTTCTGTAGCCGCGCCGCTTCCTCTGCTTCTTGACGTAACTTGTCGGCCCTGTTCAACTCGGCCTGTTGTGCCTGCCTCATTGCCCGTGCCTCTGCATCATGTCTTTCCTTCATCTGCCGCTGGCGCTGCTTCTCCTTTTCGAGAATTTCTCTCGCACTATCATCGCCGCTGAGGGACTGGTCTCTTGGTGCACCGTAGACAAGGGGCGACGTTTGGGTACGAGGTTTAGCCGTACGAGGGCGGCGCTGGGTGGTATTGGCCGCATACGATGTCTGCTGTGGGGAACTGTCGGCATCAGTTGACGAAGCATACGGCGGCGACTGCGGGCAAAAGGGCGGTGGAGGGTCAAACGTGGTGTTGGAGCGGGGAGGAGGTTGCGGACTGGTCGCGTGCGAAGTTGGTGGTCGGCGGTGGTAGCGGCTCTTGCTCCTGCTGAGTGGCGCATCGTTCTGAGGCTGGGCGTCTGGTACTGCAGGCATAGTAGGCATTGTCGACATGCCCTGCGAAGGCTGGTCATGCTGCGAAAACTGGCCTGGTGGCGCGGGATGCTGTTCCTGGGCGCGCCTTACGCTTCTATAGCGAGACATCTTTTGCGTCGACGCTGCTGCTGCGGCTGCGGCAGCAGACGAGGACATTGCTTCAGTGGCCATGGCGGTGTAGGGGAGAATGCTGTGCGACTGGAAACCTCGTGCCTGGGCGAAGAGAGGTAGAGAACATAGAAAGCACCGTCACGGCCATAGAGGACGCCCAGCGAGTGAGGGGAAAGAGGAGATGTGAACAGGGTGAAGAAGCAAGTACAAGTGGCAGCATGCGGAATACGGCTAAGGCGGCGTTTAATTCTTTGACATTAAAGTACCTGAATCCAATCACCAGGTCAAGGCAGGTAGCCGAAACATTCTCTCCACCCCCCGTTCTATCTTGGTAGTCCTCCTGAGAGGGCGGGAACGGTCGGTGGCTGGACTGAAACCTGGCAGGCCGGCCGTACGCAGGCGCGTGCGCTAGACGACTCGTCCACCTGACCAGCGCGGGGCGGTCAGTGCAGGCGGTGCCAGCCACACGTCCGCCTGAAACGCGACGCCTGGCCGCCATGCCTTAGCCACAGCACGCTATTCGACTACGTACGTAGTCATGGCGTGTGCATGAATGCCCCCCTCCCCAAAGCAGATCGCGGCATGCAACAAGATCCTGCAGATCGCAATGTTGTGCATGCATCCACCCAGGGCACACGACACTACCTACTACGCCTGTCCCTTGGCTACAGTGACAGTGACATGAACCCTATGCATACATGTCTACTTACTCTAGTCTGCGTATGTGATATGAACCCCTGCCTATGCAAAGTACTAGTATGTCACCATAACAGCCTATATTGCCTAAATGAGAAATCACTTGTGTAATATCCCAGCGGAGAATTACCAAACTGCAATATTACCACGCACACACACATACACAAACCTTGGCCCTGTGCGCCCTGCAATCCCCCCTTCTCCAAAACAAAGCGGCACTCGATATTAAAAGCACAAGTCATCGGCGGTGTTTTAGTAGCCACGAGAGACCAGTCTCGCGCAACCAAGCGCTCTATTTTTCTTTCTTGCTTTGCTTTGTTTCTTTATGTACACACACATGGCCAACAAAGGAAACTCCATCCTTTCACCAGGGGTATTTTCGTCCGACCCTCATTGGTTCTGCCTGGTGTCGCCATAATTCGTACTGATGTTGCACCCGTGTTCCACCAACCTTAAAACGACAAAAATAGAACAAAAGTAAAAACACACAACAAGAAAAAAGGTTCCTTGGTATCTTGCAAAGATGACGTTTGAGAAGGTAAAAAAAGAAGAACTTGGACAGCTATCCAGAAGAGAGAATCGAAGTGAGCGAGGGAAAAAGGTAAATAAGAAGACGGGCAGGCGAGATGCAGTACATGGATGCAGAGTGCGATGCTGGCGTGTCCAAACGAACAGAAACTAGCGCCACAAATCAGCCCTCGAGGCTCGCTTCTCGCGACCAACGTGGGTCATCCAGCTTGCGCGCGGGCTGGGTTCTCGGCCACCGAGCGAGTTGGAGTAGCCGTGTCCAAAGCCTCCGCTAGGTGCCATATGGCCGGCGCTCCTCGGTCGCCCATCGTTGTCGGCAGGTATGGCCAGGAACCCACCGAACCCGTTTGGTACTACAATGCTCTTACGGGCATCTCCGCCCCACTGGGGTCCAAGACCCTTGTGTGCCGAGTAGCTGCTTAGTGGCCGGCCCACAGACATGGATGCACGTCGTTGCTGGCCTTCGGGAGGCATGATGGAGGTAAAGATCCAATCAAGCTCATCGAGACCCTTGGAGTAGACCTCCAAGGGCTGGTTGAACATGGGCGGCGGTGCCTCGCTGAACGGACGTATTGGTGGCGCAAGAGTAAGGATTTCTGGGAAATCGGGATCACGAACCCACAGCTGTCGCAAAGCCGGAAGCGAGTTGGACATTAGCGACTTGGCTAGATACTGGTAATACGACGCAGCGGGAGGGTAGACCTGGTTGGCGGCGCTGGATACGACCTCAAAGTTGAGCTTGTGCAGTGTGTACGAGTTCATGGGCGGGATAGGGTCTAGGGGAAGGGATGCCGAGACCGTGGCCGTGTACTCTAATGTCCGAAGGTTGGCCGCTGCCTGCAAAACAATGTGAAGAGATGCTACTGGGAAGCCAGCACAGTCCTTGAGTACAAGCGTTCGGAGTCTGGCACTGCACATGGGGTTATGGAGAAACTGGGCCAAGCCGTGTGCAGTCACTGTGTGGCACTTTTCTAGCCTCAGGATCTCCAAGGCAGGGAAGTTTGGAATTCCAGGGGCATCGTGGAAAGTGGAATCGTTCAGCCATGGAGCGCCGATAATGGTAAGTTCCTTGAGTCGGGGAAGCATGCCGAAGACCTGTCGCAAGATGCTGGGCTCAATGTGTATCTTGCTGAGCTCAACGGTGATGAGCTCTTGCCAGTAGCCCTGGAGGAGCGACTCGAGCGCCTGTTCGCCACCCTCGGTGTACTTCATTCTCCTAATGTGTGGGCATCGTCCCTGCAGCTCCTGTCGCAGCAGCTGGCAAGACTGGTCGCCACTGTAGAAGCCATCTGGGAGGTCAATGTACTCGAGGTTGGGGCAGCCCGACACAGTTCGCGCAAGGTCGGCTTTGCAGGCCTCGCGCGTCATGTAGGGGAGCTTGATGAAGCGTACACGTTGGCCGAGGTATTGGTTGCCGCGGACACTCTGGCCGAGCTGCTGGAGTCGCTCGGTGGGGGCGTCGATTTCATCTCCGTTACGCGACTTGCGCCTGCGCTGGTCGGCGTAGATTTCCTCGAGCTCGCAGTAGTGGACGGCATCAATGCGGATGCTGTTGTAACTAGGGAGGCCGGTCAGCCGCAATGTACATGCAGACAGAGCAGAATGGCAAAACTTACAGTAAACCGGCGGCTACACCATACCATTGTCGCTTTGTCAAGGCGCAGTGGGCCAGGTCTCGCATGTCGCAGCTCATGCAGCCATCGTTGCCACTGTCCTCGCTGCCGTCGAGGGTCTCGTCAGTGGAATGGGGGCAGACTTGCTCAAAGATGCGACGCAAGACGTGGTCGGGCAGGCGGACAAATTGATCGGGCCCATGGTATTCGGGGATGGCGGGGGCGTAGAGGTCGTTGCGAGGACGGGATTCGTTCTTCTTTGGGGTTTTGTGACGCCTGAATCGCTTGAAGAAGCCCATGATGCCGCGAGAGGAACTAGAGAAGAATGTCAGGAGGACAGCAGCATGGAGGAGAGCAACGGGTCAAGGCAGATTTGGGGGGTGGACGTGGTTCTTTGTCCGTTGTTTCAAAAAGTGGGTAGGTGAATACTAACTCGCGTCCGTTTGGTGCAGCTTGCGGGGAAGACAGGAAGCCGCGTTGCCGAGAGGCCATGGTTACTTAGTAAAGCAGGCGGTCCCGATTTACTACACGGGCCTTCCTCGTGTGGGTAGTGGTAGATGCTCAGGCGCCAATGCAAAGTCCCCGATGCCACAAGCGGAGTGCATAAATTGCAGAGGATCTCTTGATGGGCAGAAGAGGGGGGGCGCGCGCGGCGTTTAAGGGGTTCACAGCAGCTGCACCACGGGCACTGGGAGAGGTTGCGCACACCACGTCGAGCGGGCGCTGCTGACAGGGCTAGTGCTTGTCGGCCGTGTCAGCAAAAGCTTGAGGGGACGCTGATCGTCGTGAGCGCGCGCCTCCAAACTCAACTGCCAGCCTGGCGGCGTGTGAAATTGGCTGCCACCTGCGCCGAAACAGCAGCGAGGGCGGGCGAGCACGAGGGTTGAGGCTGATCACGTGCTGCCGTGGCCCTCGCCGTCGCCGTCGCCGCGGGAGTGGGAGAGAGGCCACACATGCACACACATACATACACACACGGCCAGGGGGGGCGGCGGGATGTGCTGGCCCCTTGTCCCCTTGTCCCCTTGGCCCCTAGCCGCCTCTCGCCCACCCCAAGTACAGGACAGCTCTGCCGGTCCACTGGTCCACTCGTCCAACATGGCTTCTCGAGATAACACGCCAGCGGGCTACCCCGTCCAAGCCATGGCCGGACCCTGTTGTTCGGGTAGGCGTGGGCGTGGGCGTGTGTGTGTATGCATGTACACAGTACCCTACCCAGTCTCTAACTCTCACCATGGCGCCGTGTCCATTGCACTCAAACGCGACGACATCCATACACGCTACTATGTACACTGTACATACATGTCGTATGTATACACACGCACAGCACGGGCACGCGCCGGTTCCCCTTGGCTGCACGCGTGGGACCGGTAATGAGCGTCGACGTCGCTGCAGATATCCCGCCATGCTCCTATGTATATATGGATGCATGCAGCCATGAACTATGTATATACCCTACACACTTTCGTGTACATGCTCTCCCAGGGCCCGGGACGACACTCTCGAGCCCATTGCTGCCAATTGCGACGTCGGAACACCGCCAGCACCCGTCCAGGGACCATATAGGCACACAGCAACACGCGAGATAGCCGTGCAACCCGCAAAAAACAAAACAGCATCAGGGAAAAAAAAGCCCATATCCCCCAATGCTCTCCCAGTGACACGTCCGACACTAAACTCGAGCTCCCGCCAAGATCTCGACGTTGTGCCCTTAGCTCTGCTATCCACGTCAAGAAATCTTCCGGCATCATTGCACGGAGCCTCAGGTCGTCCGTCCCCATCACAGAGCACCTGGTTTCATCTCACCGGGTCACCTCTACCCTCGCTCCATCATTCACCTCGAGGCTCTGCTCTGTTCTCCCCTTCACTTGCAGTGAGCAGCAGTCACCTGTCCCCGCCTCACCTCATCCGTATTCACCTCCCCGCTGACGTACCCGCTGCGAGCGACTTCCACCCACGCCGCCTCTTACCTCCGACTTCCTTCGCTGCAACACCTCAATTGCCCAATCCACCCTCGCCGCAGTCTCGACCGACCTCTGGACCACCCTAGAGGCACCCGTACTGACAGTGCAACCCTCGCAGACAAATACAGACAGCTATGGCCTCCCAGCCGACCCCGAGCCCCCAGGCGGCCAATCTCGACCGCTACGTCGTCATTCACGTAGCTACCACATGTGACGAGCACGGCGTCTACGTGACAAAGGATTCAGCAGAGGTCATTGAGCTCGGCTGGATTCTCCTCGATGCAAAGTCGTGCGAAGAGGTGGGCTTGCCCATCCCAATCCCGCACCCCAATTGCTGATCCAATCCCAGCTACACCGCGAGTCCGTCCTCGTGAAGCCCGTCAACACACCCATCACAGCCTTGTGCAGTACGTTGTCTTGCTCCTTCTCCCCTACCTATTGCCTACTTGCCTCCCTCACTCCCCATCCACCCCTTCTTCACCCCGACGAGCTTCGGCTAACCCTGCATCCTTGCTTGCACAGCGAGCTTGACAACCCTCACCTGGGACCAGGTCCGCAACGCTGGCTCCTTCCGTGATGCCATCGAGCGCTTCAACAACTTCCACGCCGAACACATTGCCCCCAAGAATCTCGAGTTTGCGTTCGTTACCCTTGACTCATGGGACCTCCGCGTACAGCTGCCGCGCGAGGCTAGGGACAAGGCCGTTGTTCTTCCCCCATACCTCCAGCACTCCCGTACATTCGACCTACGCACTGAGTACCAGCGCTGGCAGGCACACCACCCCGAGTCGTTGCCGTTTGGCTCCAGCGCCTTGACCAACATTTGTGCGGCTCTCGAAGTGGAGCCTGTCCAATCGTCGGCTCCCATCAAACACAACCTGCCCTTTCACTTGCAAGCCCTCGCCCCCGCCTCGCCGCGGCGGGCAATGGAGGAGGCCGTCACACTTGCACGAGTTCTCCGTGGCCTGATCCGCAAGTCGCAGCCACCTCAAGACCACCCCGACGTACTTACCAAACCCATGGATGCCAGGGCTGACGTGCGCGCCTTTTTGTCCGAACGCAGCAAGGTTCTTCATATGAGCGGTCTTCCCCATGACACTACTCAGTCAGAGCTTGAGAGCTGGTTCACTCAGTTTGGCGGTCGTCCCATTGCTTTCTGGACCCTCCGTACCCCAGACCAGCACAAGCCCACTGGCACCGGCTTCGCCATCTTCTCTTCTCACGAGGAGGTATGTATTGTATTAATCATGCTCGACGTCTAACATGCTAACTTTAATTCTTCTTTCCTAGGCTGCTGAGAGTCTCTGCATGAACGGCCGCGCTCTCAACGAAAAGGCCATTGAAGTCTCGCCTTCGTCCACTCGCGTTCTCGACCGTGCCTCCGATATCATCACACCATTTCCTCCTAGCAAGAACCGTCCTCGCCCTGGTGACTGGAACTGCCCCTCTTGTGGCTTCTCCAACTTCCAGCGCCGTACCGCCTGTTTCCGATGTTCGTTCCCTGCCATGCAACAGGGCCCGCCTGGCGGTGATCCCATGGCCTACGGCGGTTACGGATATGGAGGTCACCCAGGTATGATGGGTCCTCCTCAGCACCACATGGGCCACGGCCACGGTCACGGAATGGGTGGTGGACACATGCGTGGAGGTACTGGTGTCGTTCCCTTCCGTGCTGGAGACTGGAAGTGCGGTGAGAATGGCTGTGGATACCACAACTTTGCAAAGAACACTGCCTGCCTCCGCTGTGGAGCTAGCCGTGCTGGCGCTGCTGTCGTTGCCGATTCTGCGTTCCCGTCGCCAATGGACACGCCCTCTGGTTTTGGCATGGGTCCTCCTTCTATGGGCGCTGGTCCCGGTGCCGGTCCCTATGGCCCTGCTGGTTACGGTGGTGGTGGCTTCCCAGCTCAACAGTATGGTGGCCCCCCTAGCTCGTATGCTCTGCCCTCTGGTATGGGTGCGGCTAGCCCTTACCCTCCCATGGGCGGCCAGTATGTGCCCAACGGTGGCATGCACTCGACTCCCTTTGACAGCCGCGCCGCTGAAGCTGCTTTTTCCTCGGCGGACCCTTACCCCGCTCAGGGTGCTCCCAACGGTGGCGATGGTCGCAATGACCCCTTTGCCTTTCTTTCAACCGGCTTTGGCTCTCTTTCCATGAACGATGATCGGCGCAACGTCACTAACCCTGCCAACAAGTCGCCGGCGTAAGTTCACTCGTACATAGGTATCGATCGTCTGGAGCGCGTATCTTGCGGTGCAATTTGATATGGGACGGTTTTTTCGGGTAGGCGTGGGCGTGGGCAAGATTGGCTATGGGTGGAGTTTTACAGCATCGGTCGATTTAAGAGATTCGTGGCATTTGCAGGCTACCTACGGCACGGATGCGTATAGACGGAAAAATCCTCATTTGATGGAGTTCGATACCTGGGATGGCGGGGGTGTTTGGGGATCGACTTGAATTCCTTTTGCAAAAGCTGGGTGGGTGGATAAAAAAGTACAAATTGGACGGTAGCGAATGCGGGCTTCTAGGAGGTTCTTGGATCTGGGAAGACGATTTCTTCGTACAGCATCTGGGCCTCGAGCTGGTGTTCATTTTCTTCTCTTTTCTTGCTCTTTTTTTTTCTCTCTCTTGTTTTCTTGTGCATGCTACAAATTGAATCACAACACATTGCCTTGGCAGTCAAGGTGCTTGTGAAGTAAGGGCGGCTCTCGAAGTATTTCGTGTGTTCTTTTGCGCGGGTTTGTTTCCTTTTTTTCTTCTCCGGAATATTTTCCACCAGTATCTGTCCTAATAATTTGCATTTGTCGTCTTTTTTCGCCCCCGTATGTAGTAGCAGTGAATCAATCTCTAGTGTTGTCTAGTGTCGTAACCGCGTCATGGTGAAATGTGAAGACGATAAGATGCCGCCGGGGGGGGATGGTTGTACGCATGTAGATCAAGAGAAAGGGAATTATCAAAGAACAGTAACGGTATGTGTGTGTGGGGGAAAGTTCCCGTAGTAGTAGTAATGCGCGCTCAACCGTAAAGTAATTATCTCGGGGCTTTTTTTTTGGTCCCAACAGATGACAACCTAAGCCAAGGGGATTCTACGCATTATCAACCCCCTTACCCTCCCCCATCCCTAGTTCGGGAGGTACCGTATTTAGGTAAGGACCTTTCGGGTTATCCGACCAACAAGGGGAGAGGATGTGATATCCGATGTTTCCTATTCGACCTTCCCTTTTTTTTCGCCGTTCCCTCTCGTCCGTCTTTCTCTCTCTTTCTCTCACACACACAAAACATACACAGTACACTCTTAGCGCGCATAATTATGGATGATTGGGGAGGGGATTCTGGTAATACCAAGCCAAGTAACTATCTAAGATCGAGGAAGGAGGAAGGAGAGTGGGCTTGGCGGATTTGATCTTGCTTACTTGCTTGCTTGGGACCCCCCCCCCTCCCCACGTCGGGGGGATTTTCTGGGTCTGGGCATAATAGAGTCCTAATGTGGTGGACTATGAGGGGGGGTTGCTTATGTGCATTAGGATTACGATAATAAGGCCGGCATTTTTCTTTTTCTCGATTTCGGGCCGGTTTGATTGTCATGTAAGATGAGTATGACAATGTAATGTTATGGATTTCGTGTGGGCTGTTTTTGGTATGGACATACTGTGTGGGTGTAAGCGTGGAGGGAGCAAAGATGGATCGGTGGTTTGCCTCGATAACGGGCTTCGCCGTCTGTGGTTGGTTGGGATTTTGCTTGGTCATGCAAGGTACGGGTGTTTGTGGAGCTTAGCAGGATTTCTAGCCCGCGCTACGTACAAGCGGGCTAGTTTGTGTCTTTGTCTATGATTAGAGTAGTAAAGCGTAGGAATCTGCGCGGTATCACGACGATGTTCGGGTCATCTATTTTTTGGTGTTGTTATTTCCTTTTTTTTCTCTTCATCTTGGACTGAACCCAGAGTTTTTTTTCGTAACGTGCTAGATGGAAGTTTGTTGAGCACATACACCGTTATGATGACGTGCCCCCTCCCGTATTATCCTAGATTTGACAAACATGTCATCTCGCATGTAAGTAAGATATGAATACAAAAGACTTGGCCGTATTTGACGTGGACATTAATAAGATGTCTGTGGCGTCTGCGTGGCTCAATTTCCGAAGCAGGTGGATGGCATCTAGGGTGTCCCACGCCCCGTATAAACGGTTGCGCGATTTTTCAATAGTGCGTATATGCGCGATACGGACGGCTGGAGGCTGGGAAACAAGAAAAAGAGGTCTTTGCGACGCGTTGCTCTGGGTCGCATATGTTAGAGATGAATTGTGCTGCTGTTGAAGTTGACGGTTCCACAGGCGTACGTACGTGTGTGTACTGACCGCAATGCGACCAGGACCAGGGCTAGGAAACATACGACGGAAGCCATGTAGTTTGTTAAGATCGCCCAAAGCCTCATGCGCCGATAGGTTACGTGTGCAGCCGTTGTCCCTGAGAGCAGGGGGGACCCAACCAACGACCCACGCTGTCAGACGTCGGCCAGTCTCGCCTTGCCATGCCGTTATCAGTCAGCTTGCCCATGGCGTTAGCGTCTCTAATTTTGACTCTCTAACGTCTAATTTGGCACGGCTAATGAGCTGCTCATCCGTTAGTCGCCTTTACTCAGCTCGCCCGTTTATCCAGCTTTTCTGCGCTATGCTGAGCTTAGGTACGGCCTAGGATGCGCCGGATGCAATTCACCACTCCATCTCGCTCGGTCCGCCCCTGTCCCATAAGCTTTCCACAACCTCACCCAAGATCGGTACCCACGATCTTGTCAAGCATCGTGCTGTCTGCTCTCACACAACCTCTTGTTGAGGCCTAGCATTAGCCCTATACAACCACACAGCATCAAGCTAACCATGTGCCTTGGACCCGCGCCATGAGTCGGCTCCTCCATAAACGCGGCGGCGTACCCCGTTTGTAGCATCCGCTCGTATTGCAGTTGCATGCTCTGCCACCTTGGGATGACACTGTGGCACCCATGTCACATCATTTCCAGTTATCTCTAGGCGTCCATGGCAGTGTACTTACATGTAATTCGTCCTTTCACTCTCACCTCTTATCTGGCGCTAGCCTCTTGACTTATCTCTCACTGTCTTTCCCGCTCTTCTCTTTCTCCCCAAAGATACCCCGTTTCCTTTCGTTTTCGTGACAATTACTCGCTCTCAAGTGCGGGCCCACCCCCGCCATGCTCGTCACCACCTCACACTCGTTACCGCGACTGCTTGTCCTCCCTCTCTTCCTCTTGATATGCGGCGCCTTCTTCTTCTTTCCCAGGCAATACCATGGTTCCGCTGCCATTCACATCCCCATCCTGACGGGCAAGAACCTCACTGCAGTCAGTTCAACCTTTGACAAGTCTGTTCAAGAATTTTGGTCCGACCTTGCCACTGCTCTGGTTGACGCCCAACCACAATGTGAACCTTTGCAGCTCGACGATGAGGGCTTCGAAGATATTGTTCACTTCAAGCCGCTTGAACCTCACAGGACACACCCTGATCGGCTGGTCAACTTCACAAAGAATGAAGAGTTGGCCTTGTTCAGAGCGCACTATACTATGCGCAGTTCTGCAAAAGAGCTCGCGTCTAAAGTCCCCTTTGCACAGGGTACTACGGGCATCGTTACTACAGCTAACGCCATGTACATGCCCATCTTTTTGGTCTCACTCCGCTTACTACGCAAGACGGGATGTGATCTGCCGATGGAAGTCTTCATTGACGACTGGAACAAATACGACGCAACAGTGTGCGAGACCGTTCTACCTTCTCTGAACGCCCGTTGCGTTGTCTTATCAAACATTTACGAGACGGCCGCTAACGTCAAACCACCGAGTCACTACCAGTACAAGGCCTTTGCGATCCTATTCTCGTCCTTCCAGCACGTTCTGTTCCTCGACAGCGATGCCTTCCCCTCACAAGACCCGAAAGGTTTATTCTCCGCCGCCCCCTACACGACCCATGGCCTGGTGACCTGGCCCGACTTCTGGGCGCAAACCATCTCGGCGCATTACTACCACATCGCCGCCATCCCTGAAGTCCCCTCGCAATCGCGCCTCTCGACCGAAAGCGGCCAACTCCTCATGAACAAAGATCTACACCGCGAAACCCTACTCATGATGGTTTACTACAACTACTACGGCCCAGACTTCTACTACATCCTCTTCAGCCAAGGCGCCCCCGGCGCTGGCGACAAAGAGACCTTCACGCAAGCCGCCCTCGCCGTCGGCCTTCCTTTCTACCAAGTCCGCACCGCGCCCATGGCTCTCGGCCGCTTCCTCAACGGCACATACAAAGGCACGGCAATCGGCCAGGCAGACCCCCGTCTCGACTACCAGTACCTACCCCCGATGCGCAACCACATCCACGATCAAGCCCTCTGGCAAGACAAGGATCTCGTCACCCAATCCCAGAGGAATAAGCCGCGTACCGCGCCGAGCAAACCCATCCCGATTTTCATTCACCAGAATAACCTCAAGCTCGACCCGGCGCGGCTCCTGAATGATAGGCGACCCTTTGATATGGAGGGCCACTCACATAGGTTGTGGGGCAAGAAAGAAGATATGCAGAAGCAGCTCGGGTACGATGTTGAGCAGCGCATGTGGGAAGTCGTTGTTGAAGAAGGATGCAGAGAAGATGCCCGCGGTGAGAAGTGCAGAAACTTGCGGGCATGGTACAGAGATGTTTTTGGCAATATCGAGGTCGATATGCCACTCAGGTCATGATTTTTTCGAAGAAGCTTTTTTGTTCCCTTTTTTTGGAGCGACTAACTACGATGATTCTTCTTTTTTTTACGTCTGGGGAAATTTGGGTGGGGAGGATGAAGGTCAAAAATTTGCCTTTCTTCATCTGCTGCTTTTTTTTCTCCTTGCGAAGAGAGACACATAACTAATGATTTGTACACAACTTTCGTTGTACATGCTCAATACGGATTTATGACAGATGGTTCGAGTGAGGCAAGAAAAACTCTACGTAGTAGTTTGTTTTTAGTTTTTGCTTGTTATGTACCGCAATGGTTAGCAGCACGCTGGTTATATACCCGAATTTTTCAACCCGAAAAAATAAAAATAAAAGTAACCATTTTTGAACGAACGATAATTCTGCTGAGTTTTTCACGTCATGTAATATGCAAGTATCATGCGTAGAACTGAGAAAGATGACATCGTCGAGTAGAAGAAAAAGAAAGAGTACAGATAGTAGCAACAGGATATCATAACCGCATAATACATAAAATCATATCTCCCTATCCCACTTTATCCGCCTTGTCCCCTCCCCCCAAAAACGCCATCTACAACACACCCTACCCAAAATCCGTGAGAAAAGATTGACTAAGCAGAATCCTCCATCTCACTCTGCAACAAACTCTCCATAATATCCTCCTCAGTAACCATTGTCCTCCTCCTATCATCCCTGCCCACAATCAACGTGCTATGTTCAGCCACTGACTGCTCTTCCTCTTCATCCTCATCATCGTCATCGTCATCAGCTTCAAGAGGCATGCGTGTACCCTCCCCTTGCATACCAGCTAACATCGTATCTTCATCCTCATCGTCTTCCTCATCGTCTTCTTCTTTAACCTTGACGGGTTTCTTAGATGGTATCCGGGTCTCAGATGCCTCGGTTGTCTCCGTCTCATCCGGCGCAACAGTAGTGTTGGGAGCAGCCGTCTGGTCATCTGCGTCTTCGTCGGGAGCTTGTGTCGCGTTACCCACTTCGCCCAATCGCTTTGTTAGAGTAGCTTCCATTTTCGCCAGTGCATTACGTTGCGTGGCGTCCGTCCCGATCTTGGCTTCGACGGCTTCGGAAACAAGGCTGTGAAGGGTATGTAGGGGCTCTTCTTCTTCTTCATCTTCACCATTTTGCTCGGTGTTGCTCTTGTAGCTCGGGCCCGATGGAGCGATGAAGAGTTTGCTTAGCAGCGAGAGTAGAGGTTTACGCTCGTCTTTCGAACACGTGCTTGTGAGTGCGCGCTCGAGAATATCAATGGCGAGTTGGACGTGAGGTTCCTCGGCTTCGGCTGTTGTGCTTGTCTTGCCATCCAGACCGAGTTCGGTTGCGCCAACTACCTTGCGGCCGTCGGTCCATTCGGAAAGGTGGGCAGTGATGACGGGCCAGCCGACCATCTCGTCTATGTCGTCCTCTTCGACATTCTCATCGCGCATGATGAGGAGCTTGGAGATGATGGGGACGGCGATTTCGCCCATGAGCTTAGCGTTCTTTAGCTTACTGTGGCAGAAGACGGGGAGGAAGTAGCTGAGTGCTTGTCGTAGTGCCGGGTTCGTTGCTGTCTCGGGATCGAAGTAGGTCAATGTGAAGGCCTTGAGGATTTCGGCTGTAGGCTGAGGTGGTAGGATACCAAGGAGCAATAGCTTCGAGGCAGCGGTGCATGAGATGAGACTAATGCGCTTATTGTCGGAGGTGAAGGCCTTGAGAAGGATCTTAGTGATAGGGCGGATGCGTGGGTTGGTAATGGGCTCTGCATCCTCAGTCTCGGCGTCTGGGTCCGGGATAGTGGGTGTAAGAAGCTGTGGGTGAGTGATGATCACGTCTGTGAGGACTTGAATGACAATCTCCTTCAGAGCATCATGGCCCTTTGCGAAGCAGTGGAAAAAGAGATCGAGGTTGTTACCTGCAAGATCCTAGTTCTTGTTAGTATATCCCTATAGCAGATATCGAGTCGTAAACTTACTTTACTGAGAAGGGCAGCTAGACCCAAACAGATGACACCTCGCTCTCGGATCATCGCCTGGTGAGCTTGTACGGCCGGGATAATAAGAGTATTGAGGATATTTGTGAGCGACGTATCCGACTCCAAATCGCCCTCCACATTTTGAAGTGTGCATTGCGCGATATGTAAACACTTAGAGTATACCATGACCTCTCGGATCTGTCGCTCTTCTTTCTCTTCTTCAGTGAGGTTTTCTGTGGCTTTGGCAGTCTTGGCCTTGATTAATGGAGCATCCATGTCCACGTCTGATTGTGCAGAGTGGAAGCTTTCTTCAGCATCTCCGCCAGTGACGGTGGCATCATCGGCATCCAAGAGAGAATCTCGAACGTCGGCAATGGCCTCGACAATGAGAGCACAGAAGTCTGACTCGCCTCGACTACCGCAAACCTTGCGTAGAACTTCGATGGAGAGCTTTGTGCACTCTTCGGGCAGTTGAGCCTTGGAAATTGCTTCGCGCATAATGTTGTACATCTGCCTTCGTCCCATCTCATCCGTGTAGTCGAGAGTATGAGCAATGTGAAGGAGCTGCTGGACAACGAAATCCTGTTCCTCAACATCTTCCTGGGCCTCCTCAATCTCTGGATCAGTCTCTTCCATCATTGCGACTTTGTCGACTAGCTCCATAAGCGAATTGAGCTCCCGCTGCAGAACAAAAGCAAACATAGTGACTTCGGGCATCTTGTCCTCAATCATGCTCTGGATTCTGTCATCGTCGGTGCTCTGGCTGTAGTCGTTGAGCGTACGAGCAATGAAAGCCGTCTGCGCATCTAGGTTGTTCCAGAACTCATGATCAAATGTGATATCTCTACGGTAATCCGGTCGGCCATCCCAGAACTGGCGCATGGCTTCATGAGCCATACCGTCCTCCTCACCGGACCGTGTAACATCAATGCGTTCCAATAGCTCGCATAGCGCCTCCAGACTAGGAGGTGCAACATCACCAGGCTTCTTCTCCTCTTCAGTCCGGGTGTCGCGGGATGAAGCGCAATCTTCGAGCCAGCGCTCGCGGAACAGGGTTGCTGCAGCCTTACGGACAATGTCGTCTCGGTCGCGAAGACCCCATCGGATGAGCTTCTCTCGCTCCACAAGCGACATGTGTCGGAAATCGCCCAAAGCCGGTAGAATCTTGCCATAGACTAGCCTTCGAGTAGTCGCATCCATATCACGAGCCCGCTCGAGGATATATCGCAGGGTGGACGGCCAGAGTGGCAGGTTCAACAATACAGCTCGTCGCACTTCGGCACTCGGATCGTTGATCATGATATCCAGAAGCTTGTCTAGAATGCCACCTGCTTCGTCGTCACTGTCTTCCTCATCTTGCTCCTCGTCATCATTCCCGGCAAGACGGCCCAGTCCGAGAATAGCCTGAACGCGCACCGATGGTTCTTTATCTCGAAGACGCTTCAAGAAACCCAATCTTATCATGTTGAAAATATCGTCATCGATAGTAGTGAGGCTGTTCACAATATGCGCAACTGTCTGTGTGGCTCGGAACCGGACCGTCTTGTCCTTGGCTGTGAGAAGTCCCAGGATTGTAGTGAGGATGCTGGATGTAAGCCTGCTGGTAGGCGTTTCGTGAAAGGCAGTCGCATCTTCCTCGGACTCTGCGGCAAATATCTGTTGATCTGGCTTTTATCAGTGTTTTGTTTTTCTGACCGGCAGTGCATGACAAACCTTTGTCTGACGCATGCTTCAAGAAGATGCCCAAGAAGCGAATCACTCTGTCGCCTACCGGCTCACTCTTCTTAACGGACATGATTCTAAGCAGACACCTCACAATCTCGGCATTGAACTCCTCCTCGTCAAAATCTTCTTGTTCCTCCTGGCCCTTCTTTCCGCCCTTCTTGCCTGTGTCTGGTGGCTCGAAACAGCATGCTTCCTGGATCTTCCTCAAGTTGACCACCAGCTTCCTTTGTGTGGCCGTCGTCTTTTGTGCGTCGCTGAAGACTTGGGCGATCTGTGTGCGGAGGGTTGTGACGGGGCCCTCATCGGGGATATCAATTGCATTTGCGGATTGTCTTGCAGAGGATCCGCGTGTTGCCCTTGTTGTACCGCCACTGGCTTTGCGGGCTGTGGCTGTGGTCGACCCACGCGGCGCGCGGGTTGAAGGACGTCCGGGCATATTTCGTGTACTGTCAGTAGGATGTGTGGTCGTCTACTGTGGGACGATCATTGGCATCAATCGTCGGTGGTGTTGTTGTTTACGCACACCCCCGCGCGGCAACGGCTCGTGGGAGCAGGGGTCCCGCGTGCAGGGTCCACCTTTGACTGCTTGCGACATCGGGCGAAAGCGCGTTGATTCGCCGACCAGCCGATGGCATCATCTTGAACTTGTACTTGAACTTGACCTTTGCCCCCGGCTTTGTGAGGCAATTCTTCAATTGCAACAATGTTCCGGACAGCTGTGCGAGGCTTCGCGACCTCTGCACGTCGCGGCGCTGAGATCATTGGCTCAGCAGAAGCCCAGCAGACTGCCCTTAATATCTCAAAGGCTCAGGGCATTGGTCAGCGGGGTTTCCTTGATGGTAACATGTTTCCTTACAAAACCCTAGAGCGAAAACATATTGACATATATTCCCAGCTATTGGCAAGACCCCTCTTATCCGTCTAAAGAGGCTCTCTGAAGAAACTGGCTGCAACATTCTCGGAAAAGCAGAGTTCCAAAACCCAGGCGGCTCAGTCAAGGACCGCGCTGCCCTCTTCGTCGTCGAGAATGCCGAACGCCAAGGTCTCTTGAAGCCCGGTGGTACCGTTATCGAAGGTACAGCTGGAAACACTGGTATCGGTCTTGCGCACGTCTGCCGCTCAAAGGGTTATAAACTCGTCATCTACATGCCCAACACCCAGTCGCAGGGCAAGATTGATCTGCTAAGACTGCTGGGCGCTGAAGTGTACCCTGTACCCGCTGTCGCATTCGAAAACCCCGAAAACTACAACCACCAAGCAAAGCGACACGCGGAAAGGCTGGACAACGCAGTATGGACAAACCAGTTCGACAACGTGGCGAACCGACAGGCGCATATCGAGACCACAGGACCGGAGATTTGGGCCCAGACGGGAGGAAAACTTGACGCTTTTACTTGCGCCACAGGCACGGGAGGCAGTCTGGCTGGTGTGACAAGGTATCTCAAAGAGAAGAGTGACGGAAAGGTCAAGAGCTTTTTGGCAGATCCACCAGGCTCCGTGCTGCACTCCTACATTCAGAGTGGTGGCAAGCTCACAGAGCGATCTGGTGGTTCCATAACAGAGGGTATCGGCCAAGGCCGTGTAACAGACAACCTGAAGCCAGACATTGATCTCCTTGACGGCTCTGTACACATTAGCGATGAGAAGACCATTGAAATGGTGTACAGATGTCTAGATGAGGAGGGTCTCTATTTGGGCGCTAGCTCATGTCTAAACGTTGTTGCAGCCAAGGAAGTAGCTGAGAAGCTGGGTAAGGGATCAACAGTCGTCACACTGCTGTGTGATGGCGCATACCGATATGCCGACCGTCTGTTCTCCAAGAAGTGGCTGGAACAGAAAAAGTTATACGATGCTATACCCGAACACTTGCGCAAGTACATTGTACTGGAGTAGGCTACCAAGTACATACAAAATAGAAACAACACAAGTCTACGAGAAACATGTGCCTCTATCCCCGAGACCGTCTTCTTTGTTTGCTTCTACTTCTACTTCTACAACTACACTTTCTCATATACCCACTAATATGCTTAAATCATCGGGCCTCCGCTCGCGAACCCATTCACAACCGCCGTCATAAGCTGATTCGCAATCGCCGTCTTAGGTGGCAACCTCAGCCCACCCTCCTTATACTCGGGCCCAGCACCCTCTCCCAGCCCACTCGTCCCCACACGCAACGCCTCCCTAACCTCCTCAGCCGTAAACCACTTTGCGTCTTCCAATTCGGCATCGTGGCCCAGATGAATGGTCTCCCCCTCCGGAATCGCCTGGCCAACCGCACCAATCATAAGGTTAGCAGGGTACGGCCATGGCTGTGTAGAGTGAATAACCACACGACCAAGATGGATACCGGATTCCTCCCAGACCTCGCGACGGACGGCTTCCTCGACGCTCTCGGCCGGCTCGAGAAATCCAGCGAGGGTAGAATACCAGTTCGGGGGCCACCGCTTTTGACGACCAAGAAGGATCTTTTTGCCGTCGGCGGACACGACCGCCATGATGACGGTGGGGTCAGTACGTGGGAAAGAGAGATTGGAGATGCCAGTGCGAGTAGCGCAGGGTGGTCGCTCGCCTTGATCAATGCTGGATGCAATGTCCTTGGGCGGACATGTACGCTTGAACCCGGCGTTGACGGAGAGCGTCTTGTAGCCGCATGAGGCGCAGAAGGGGTTTCGGGCGTTCCAGTCGAGGAGGTGGCGGGCTTCGGCGTAGATAGCCGCTGTTGCGTGTTAGTTGCCGAGTTACTTCTGTGTTGAAAATGTATAGTATGAGAGAATGATGATTGCGTACCTTCTTCGGCGGGCAGACTCATATGCATCCGTCCCTTGCTGAACTCCAATCCCTGCTCTTCGAACTTCTTGATCAACTCCTCTGCCTTTTCCTTGACGCTTTCTTGCGGCGTGACATCTACGGCGAACCACGGCTGGCCCTTGTAATGCTCCTTGTACTTGAAGCCATCTTTCCTCTCATCCAGTCCCAAAAAGATAATCTGCGGCGTATACAGAGTCGAATTGTACTGCGCAATGACATCCTCCTCGGACTTCTCAAACGGGTTGTCGCCAATGATTGGCTTAACATCCGAGAAAGTACAGCGAGCAAGCTCGGTGGCTGACTTGACGAGCGGTTCGAGTTTATTGAAGAGAAGGAAAGTAGAAGATGGGTGGTGTAGTGCCGAAGACAGAAATTGGTGGTCGGGACGAAGGAAACCCACACGATTTAATGGAGACCCTGCATGCCAGTGTTAGAGATAAGCGTCTCCAAGAGTAGATAGGCCGCGTGTCTTCGTACCAGAGAAGTAATTGGCTACTTCCTTTCCAAACTTGCGGCTCAGCATCGAATCGACTCCCGGGTGTGCTGGCTCAGGGAGGTCTGGCTGCGGTAGCATTGTACTAAACTATAGACAATGTGATCTGACACTCTTATCGTGTCGGAGAGTGGCGGAGAAGGAGGAGGAAGCCAATGTATATCTATAAGTATACAGAAAACAATCCTTTAAATGTGCAAATGCAAGGCTTGAAACTAGCTCAAACGGACAAAGTTATCGCGAACACCCGAAGACGAAGTGCAGGAGAAAAACAAAACCAGCGCTTGACGTAGTGTATATGCACTCTACTTTGCCGTCGTACCCCACAGACGAGGGGGCCGCTAATCGGCTCGACATTACAAACCCGCCAGCACGCTTGTTCCGACACCTCGGTCCACGTTCCGAAGCTTATCGATTAGTTTATTTGAACTTCTGGCATCATCACCCCAGCACACGACGTATCGATGGAACAAAGACGGCAGCCATGAGTCAATTCCAAGTATGTACACACACCCCTCGTCGATTTCCACAACAAGCGCAATAGGGAGTAGATCTGTGCGACTGACCACGCCTTTTGTCTAGTTTGGCGCAGACTCGCGCTCTGGATCCAGCGACGACTCTGATGACGACAACATCTCTACTCTTCCCTTTGCGACACCGCTCCGCCGCTCCGATTTCCTCGTTCCAGACTTCTCGCCTGCAAGTTATCTTTCTACCCTACATAACCGCCACCAAACGCTCGAGGACCTACGCTCAGAGTTGCGCTCGCGATCCCAGCTTCTATCCAAAGAGCTTCTCGACCTCGTCAATTCAAACTACCAAGACTTTTTGAACTTGGGGAACAGCTTGAATGGCGGCGAGGAAAAGGTGGAAGAAGTCAGGGTGGGGCTGCTGGGCTTCCGAAAGGAGATTGATGGATTGATGGATGTAGTCGGCAAGCGAGAGGAAGAGGTGCGCGAGCTACTAGAAGAAAAGCGCGATGTCAGGCATAAAATCGAGGTCGGCAGACGGCTCATAGACTACGATGCTAGGCTCAAGGAGTTGGAGGCCGAGCTCATGATTGAGACGTCGGGTCAAGAGCCTATTATAGTCGGGGAAGAGGTCTCGGATAGCGACGAGGATGAGGATGAAGACGAAGAGGAGGGAAGCTACACTATTTCCGTCGCAAAATTAAGACGAAATGTAGTACAGTACCAATTGCTGCTGGGGTTGGAAAAAGAACTAGATGAGCATCCTTTTGTCGCAGCGCAGGCTGCAAGAAAGACCAAAGTGCGGACTACATTATTGATGGACTTGAGTACCGCACTACGACAGGCGAAGAGCGCGGGAGCAGACGGATCAGGGCGCGTCATGAAGATTATGAAGATTTACGCGGACATGGAGGAATCGACAGAAGCTGTCAAACTTCTCAAGACATTAAAGTCATCGTAATGGGAGATCTTGACACCAGCATAGCGACGGCGTTCGGTATGGTACATTGTTCATACACCCACCCCTAGGGCTACATCTACAAAGGTCCACTCAGCTCCTTTGGTGCTATCGAATTGGGTCCTCTAAATTCTCCGCTCAATGTGAAACCTGGCGCATTGGTCGAGCTGAGTACTACCTCGTGAATTTCCTTGCCAATCCGGTCGCTCAGTTGTGCCATGTCCTTCTTGAGCGCCTCCATGAATGCTTTGATATTTCTTTGCATCTCGTCTGGCGTGAATCCCAACTGTCCTATTGCCATGCGAACAACGCCTAGACGTTCCCTGTATTCGCTTCCTCCCACCATGTTCCTCACACTTGTACCCACTTGCGTGACTACTGTGCCAGTCTTTGTGCTGGGCATCAAGCCCTTGGGACCCAACACTCGTCCTAGCCCCGCCTTGTTCATCTTCTGTAGACTGTCGATGTGGCATATGCACCTGTCGAATTCAACAATGCCTTCCTTGATTTGGTTGAAGATTTCGTCTTCGCCGACAAGCGTGGCGCCCGCAGCGCGAGCTTCAGTGGCGGCCTTGGAGTCTGGTGCGGCAATGACACAGATCCGTATGTCGGTCTTGACGGGATGTGGGAGTCGTAAGCGGTTTCGCACAACGGGACCGTTCTTCAGCGTGCGCAAGCGAACATGCATCTCGTATTTTGAGGAGGAGGGGTTACGGCCTACTTCGAAGGCGCGGATATATCTATTCCCCCGTTAACACCTGCCCCTGCCATTGGCGGCACTCCAGAGCCCTAGCCAGAGACTTACTGCATCGCATCTATCAGCGAGAATTGGTCTGCCTGCTTCAAGTCATATTGCAGGAATGTGTTCCGCGTCTTCTTCTTTTTCTTCGGCTGTGCTTTGGTCGTTGCGCATCGTATCGTCTGATATGGCAATGCAGCAATGCGCGGTACTTCGGATCGCGCAGCGGCAATTGGTGAGGTCGCGAGCCGGCCCAAAGGCGCTATTAACGATCGTGGGTGTGCCATTGCGGCGTTGGAGATATCGGTGGTGGCTGCGGTGGTGCCAAAAGTTCGGCCGGAGATTCGGGAGTGCCAAGACATGACTGCGCTAACAAAACGTCGCGTATGCTCCGACTGTCACTGAGTTGATGGCTGTATATCATTTGTTTTACATAGCGAAATTCATATTGATTTGCAGATGAAGGATATTCATGAATTGGCTTTTTGGATATTCGGGGTCGATAAAACCACCTTCTCACTTTTCGCAGAAGAAGTAACCAGTGTGCATGAGTGAGCAAGCAAAAACATCTGACTTGTGGATGAGTAGATGTTACTAGTAGTAATAGTACTTCATCTACTATGCGTGACTCATGCTAGACAACTTAACAGAAAAGTCTTGTTCTGTGTGAGGATTCATGCGTAATGAAAGAATAAATTGTGGGAGCTGGTTGACATATTAGCAGAGATCCTACCTCCACGAAGACAATCTGAGTCATTCATTTTCGACAATACAACTCGTATTGCAATTTAAGGCCAACTCTGCTCATAATCGTGATATACCGATGTTAGCCTTGAATCTTCGGAATAACTAACCCAAAACTCAAGGGCGCTTTGCCGTTTTCAATCCTTACTGCGCTTCACGAACGCCTATTGGCCAGAATACGGAATAGTCCATTCCGGCACGTCTGCCTGAAATCCTAGGAAATCCTAGGAGAATATGTGTATATATAGTCGTTCCATGTTGATGGCAAATCTATATTCACTCATCTTTCAAGTATCTTAAGCATCATGGACCAAACTTTGTTCACGCCACAGCTGAAGTTGACGCTCATTACAACGGCGGAAAGAGGGAGCCAAGAACTTGAATGGCTACATGAGTTGCGCAGCGATGAAAAGGCTACATGGTGGAGGTAAGTAGTCACTGCCTATCTTCTCTGCACACTAGACCTTTGTCTGCTCTTATTCTATACAACAAAGCCAAATTTCCAAAAAGGACCGAAACTAATCCTCCAAAAAGTATCTATGGCCGGTCAAAGACAATCGAAGACACCGAGAAGACCATGAAAGGAGCACTGCCAACCACAACCAACGACGGCGAAGAGAAACCCTACCGGGCCGTCTACGCCGTCCATGAACTACTCGCTCCAAACAGCAACCCAGCCAGTCAAGAAGACATCCCCACACGAATGATCGGACTCATCACTCTCCGCTCCGTCGACAAGGGCAGTCTCCCTTTACCACCTCGTATATTCCCTGACTCAGTCCACTCCCCTGATTGTCTAGCCGTCGAGCTTGGATACCAATTCCTGCCAGCCGCATGGGGCAAAGGATTCGCAACACAATCCGTAACAAAAGTCCTCGACGCTTGCCAACGCGAGCAAAAGTTCTGGGACAACTACCAAAAGGTGTTTGTTCGGGCGATTGTGAATGGCGAGAATCCAGCTAGTAGACGCGTTATGGTCAAGTGCGGTATGAAGGAGCTGGCGGTGCATGTTTGGGACGGTGATGGCATATGGCTTGCGGGCAAGTGGAGGACTACTGATGACCTTCATATTTTTGGGAAGTTTGTGAGGGAGTGAGGGGGGGTTTCGGTTTCCTGATGCGCTGTATACAGTGATGGTGTTTAGTCAATACAAAACTATTGACCTTGCCGCGTAGACTTGATCAGATACTGGGCTTAATCTACGTTGCATCACCAAGTCAATCCATAAGAAAATTGACTTTTGGTTTGCTACAAACAACTATTCATGTGATTGCTCTCGTAGCCACTTTCCCAAAACATCCGTCATAATCGCATGCGTCCGGCTGGTCAAATGCCCTGAGTTATACCAAAAGTAGGTATCTAATTCCGTGCATCCATATTTTCCTGGGTCAGTCAGAATATCTGGTTGATTGTACCCCGGGCAATACCCCGTCACGTTCTTGAACCCATACTCCTGATATCGATCCAACACATCATTCAGAACAGTATTAACATCGAATTGCAGAACCGCCGCATCGCAATGCTTTTCCGCAAACCCGTCTGCGTAGCTGGCCTGGATATTGTTGAATAAGTCCACAAGCGACGCATTGACGTTAGGTGTACCCGGTCCACGGTCCAAAGGCGGGAGATTCATGAACAAAAAGTTCCTATATCCCAGCTCGTACACCTTTTCCACATTCTTGAAAACGTTTTTCTGTACTTTCTTGTAGGCTGGCGCAAAAGTAGCGTTTCTACCCTGTGTAGCGACGAGGTCGTTGATGTCGTTGATACCGATCCAAACGGCTACCAGCGCGTGCTTCTTATCCAAATGAATAAATTTGAGCGCGGGGTTACTGTAGGAAATGAATTGCTCGACTTGGCGCTCCAGTGAAACAGTGTGGTTATGGTGAAGTGGTGTGAAGCCAGCTTCCTCAATCGTGTTGGCGCCTGCGTAAGCAAAGTCCCAAAGCTGGATGTCGCATTCTTGCGGATCATGTAGCCCGTCTTCTACACCGCAGTCAGTCAGAAACTCGACCCAGTTAGGTCCACCTTCTGCTGTTCCGGTAAGGTTCTGCACAATGCGGTTGGAAAAGAGTTGCGCGGGTGTAAAGGGTAGATTTAATTCGTCGCCGATGAAGGAGTAGTTGGGGTGGCCGAGGGTGCCTTGAATGAATGTGTAGCTGTCGCCAAAAGCTATCAGAGAGTCGATGGTAGACCAGTCGAAAGTAGTCTTTCTGGTACTCGGAGATACCGGTGTCGCTGCTGCGATACTAGCGCATGTGGCCAACGCGAGACACGAAGTTGTGGATAGCTTCATGGCAGCCAAACATAATCATGAACAAGAGGTTTGTTTGCTATGCTCATATTCGACATACATTCAGCTATAAATGACTACCATAACTTCGTGTTTATCCACGCAGGGTTCGGATAATAGTGAGGCTACGGGTCAATTGTGTCCGAAGGAGAGTGACTCGGATAATTTAGCCATGGATCTACCTAGGTTAGAACGGGCCCAGTTAGGGCATAAGGAAATCATGGTAACGTAACAAATTGTAGTATATATGTGTGGTAGCCTCTCTCTACAGGTAGAATATTATAACATTTAGTGATACTGATATCTCCCAACGATGAGTTAAATCTATGTTCATTCGACAGTGATTTAATTGGTAGTATCTACACAATACTCTTTTTATTCTCCCTTTCTTTTGCGTTCTTCGCTCACATTAATCGAAATGATGAACAATCACTTGTGCACCATTATTTTGTGATTGGTGGACTCTACCCCACACTTACCTACTTATCATAACTCGCTGCTTAGTATTGAAGAAGTTGATTGGTTACGTAGCTTAGACTGAAGCGGGGGTTACCTAGCGAATCATAGTCAAGTACTACATAACCAAAGAGCTGTCTACCATGCACTCTTCACCAGTCTGCTATGTTCCATCACGAGGGTCAACCAACGTGCTTGCTGTGTCACTGTGCTGTCCAGCCAGATGAACACGTCGCAGCGGGTATGTATTTCTCAAATTCCAAGACAGATGACTTACTAGCGAAAGCCTTACATGACACCCAGCAACCTTTGTTTCCCCTGTGCAGACGATTGTTTTGCCAAAAAACAGTTTGTTATCACTGTTCGTTAACTAGAGGTCCGAGATCTCACTGCATTCATCGTGATTGCTATCAATATTACCGCCGTCTCTTTCCCGAATCACAACGGCTACGACTTCGGGACTTGCTAGAACTATGGCCCGACGATTTGGACTTCCTCGATCGCCACAACATCGAGAGAGAAAAACATGCCTACGAAGAATATTTCCCTCGTTCAGAATCGGCACTGTTCGCGCACATAGCAAAAGACAGCTTTGGAAATTTCCTCCGGTTGGTTGTTGAAAGACTACCACCAGAGCTTGTATCAGATATCGCAGGGTTATCGTGGCCATGTGCTTTACGAAAACCAGCGATAATCGCCGGGGAAGGCCAGTCCCTACTAGAATTCGCAAAGAGTCAGAAGAGCAACCATACCGACCTCATAACGTTTGCAGGAGAGCCAGCTATGGTTCGTTACTCCAATTTCCTAGGACACCGCTATGCAACGAGTATTGCCTTGCAAGAAGATACAGTCGTCAAACGCCAAAACGTCCTTTCTATTGCTGTAACTCGGGATGAAGTAGGTATACTTGACATAAACTTCCAAGGTCACTTCCGATACTCACGACCTGGCCTCTGGTACAGACTGATTCAGGCCGAGGCGGACAAACTAGAACTTTGCATTTGCACCAAGGTATGAATTACAATATTACTAATTCCATCACTGACATTGTCAGAATATCATTGTGGATGTCGAATCAGCAAACACACGTGAGCCATTTTGGAATCCCTATTGGGATTGCCAATTTTCATCTCAACCTAAAGTATCTACATGGTATTTTCACAAGACCGAACCGTCTCTTCCTCAACGCATGAGATATGTGGGGCTCAACGACGACACACAAGGAATAATCGTTGGTTGCGGTCATGAAGGTTTCGTGCACCTTGAAACCTATGGCCACAGTGGTAAACCCTACAACTATTCTCAAACCTGGAGTGCATTTCCGGATCGCGTGGCATACATTTGTTTTCCTCTTTCCAAGGGCGAGGTCATTACTGCTGCGTGGATTCGTGAGCTGGACAATGATTTATCCATTCGCCAACCTGCTCTCGTGGTAAATAGCATATCCGTTTGTTTGTGTATAAGAGTCTTATATGTTGAAACAGGTCAACACATCCCTTGAGCGTACCTGTACCTTTGGGAATTATGTGCCAAGGGAAAACGAACATCTATACCGGTATGAACCTCTGGTTAAACAGAATGCCTATCGAATCACGGGAATCTGCTATAACAACAAGGCGACTGGATCATCACTACAAACAAAGATTGGTATTACCCACGAAGAGAAGCCAGCTGGGCCGCTACCCAGTCCACCTCGCCAAGCCGCGTATACCCTCCCTAACCATTGGATACCGCAGTGGTACGTGTCCTCTGCATGTCTCTCTGGAGTAACTCACGTACGCATGTTTATAAATAACAAAACATCTCACAAGCCGACCGTGGGAATGCTGCTCTCCTATGAAAACCACCAGATTTCACTAGGACAGTACAGATTCGATTGCGATGTGGAGGATTTCGACCTAACAGGACCCATGTATTTCTTCTGTGGAGATATGGAACTTCGTCCTTATGTAAAGGTCATTTGCAACGACGGCGAGGAGAAGAAGCCGGATTGGAAGGAAATTCCTCGGACGGCAAGGCTCGTATGGTGGTTTACGGCTATTTGTTCGCAGCTAGATGTGCTTACAACGTAGTTTGGGGGTTACGCTACATAGCGTGATCCCAATACTGTTTTTTTTTTCGAAATTGATACCATCCTGGTTGATAGTAATGCCACTAGGCAACAAAATATCATTGACAACAAACGACAAAGTCCATGCATAGCATCTCCTGTTGGGGATGCTGCATCCCACTGGGCTGTTGCAAGACGTACATTTTACCAAGAGCTTAGCATACCAGTCCCCATTCTAGTGATGAGAGATATTCAAAGCTGCCTAGTCATAGTAATATGTAAAAGGCTACTGTCCGACTTGCACATCGGAAGCATACTTACACAAGTACTTACATGACGTGTTCATCCGAGGTTATATGCACACACACGCCTCTCACGCACTTTACACATACACACACAGCTATGACCCTTTTGTTGTTTCCTTTCTCCCGGAACAGGGCACTTGCCGCTTCCGAACCCCCCCGCCCCGCGGATACTGATACCGGCGATCCGAGTGGGCATAGCACCCGGGTTAGTTGTTGAGGCTTATACGTTTACGCGTTTGTTTGGGCGTTTTGTGAGGCGGTGAAGCTATGGTACTATATGGACATGTGTGTTGTATGAAAGGGAGAGATAAGCCGGCCTATCGGATCGCGTGGTTACGGTACTTACGAGAGAGTATGAGAGAGGGAATGGGCGGTGTGGCGCAGGTCGAGTAAGTTGGTGGTCGGTGGTATTGCTGCGCCACACGGAAAAAACATAGGCATTGTAAGGGGCAGATGGTGGTACCCACTTTCGCGTGCTTGTGCGTGTGCTTACAGCAATCTTGAGCCGATGCAACGGGTGTCACAGAGTGTTGCTTGGGAAAGCGAGAAGAGGCGTGCGGTGAGGTGAGGTGGTTTTGTTTCAAGGGTTTAGGGCTGGGGCTGGGGCTGGGCATTGGTGTTGGCAGGGTTGGCTGGAAAGTTTGTTTGGCGAATGGGAGGCGTGTGATGTCAGAGGTAAGGATGAGATGGCGAGAAATACGGAATATGCGGGATAGGCGAGGATAGAGGGATTTGGGCGGCGGCAGATGGGCTACGGCAGATGGGAGATATGGTGAGATGTGACAACACATCTAGGTTGGTTTGCTCCAAAGTGTCGAGGTGCATGATACGAGGGGTTGAAGTGGGTGTGGAGGGGGTGGTTTAGCATGCGTGGTTTTTTTTTGTGGTGGTGGAGTGGGAATTTGTTCGCACGTGGTTGTTGGATGGAAGATGGATGGGGGGAGGCAGCATTCATGGTCGTTGTGTAACTCATAATAACAGTACCACAACGTACAGTAGCGCGTACGTCGTGTGTAAGGAGAGTACTAAGTCAGTAGTTTTGTAAAAGTGCGGCGTAACACCACGGTACTTACTCTGCAAGTCCCCAATACAGGGGTAAGTGGGCATAATAAAACTTCCCGGGGCCGCATGCACGATGCATACGAAGACCCAAAGGCCTGGGCGCGCTCGACGCCCTTCAGACGCCCCTTGGCATCATCGCGCCTCACACCGCGATAAGCCGGGAATTCCATTCGCAATGTTCGTCTGGAACCAACCCCGGTTTCCACCCAACCGTGGTTTGGAATTTCTTCGCCCGCTGCCCTCTCCACACCCCCCTTTTTTTTATATCAAGGAACCATGTCCGTTACCCACAATGCTCTTAGACGGTCCTTTATTGCGACGCGCTACCGGGTCGGTCCGTTGATGTGATGCTCTCCTCCTGCTACCGCCGCCGCCGCTGATTAACGAACGCTTGACCATCTCAGCTTTCATTGCTGTCCGCGCATTGTCCCCCCATCATAACTGGCTGTTTCCGTCGCCTTTGTGACTAGACCGGAACTCTTTTTTGTTCTTCTTGCTTTTCTTATTTGCTGTACGACGGGAGGATCGACATCCGACGGCTTTTCTGTAGTCACGCATTTCCTTTCGCCTATAAGGCGCTCGCAGGGCAATCATGTTCGGCCCCTGGTTGTCCTTCTTCGCATGGCTGAAGCAGCGCACGCCGTCGTCGCTGAAGGCACTCACGCCACGTGCCAATTTCATCACCCTTCACTGTATGTATGTGATCAAAGAAAAAGGTTAACGTGTATACTTACGAATCGGCAGATGGATACATCGTCTCATGGACGCTCATCGGCTCCGTCATCATGTATGGCAATGGGCGCATCCCATATATCGATGCCCTCTTCTTTGCCAGCGGCGCAGCAACACAGAGTGGTCTAAACACGTATGTAACAAAGTCTTGGGCGTATGGTGATCACAAACTGACAGACGTTGTAGAATTGATGTCAATAACCTCGATTTGTATCAGCAGGTACGCGCGCACGACCGGAATACTGGGAGATCAACATTTTTCTGACCAGCTGCAGATCACGCTATATCTCATGACATGTCTATGCACGCCCATCTTCATCCACAGCTCCGTCGTCGTCGTCCGTCTATACTGGTTCGAAAAGCGGTTTCAGAACATTGTGCTGGAAAGGGGTAGCAGG